CCCAGGAAATGGTCACCCAACTGCAGTTTGCAGTGAGTTTTCTCAGCTAGTCCTCTTCTAACAGGGAATAATCGATGGCTTATGAATAGGGGTGTCTAAATGTGCCCTGGACTGCAGGCCAGTCCTAGCTGTGTATGAGGTGTGAGGTATGTGTGAGGCGGTCAGTTGCCAAACAGGATGAAATAAAGACATGAAAGTGCAGTTTCTGCAGTGAAATGGTTAACTTCTGGTCTACGAGGATGGCTTAAGCAGCCATATGTTCTGCATGGTAAAGAAGAGCAGATGGGATTAGCATGAAATGTTATTCCTAAAGTCAGCTTGCCATGGTGAAAGCGGTTCCACATCTCTGTGCTGGTTTGTATCCACAGACCTGGTGCTGTACTACATGCCTATCCTGATTGTCTTGGGCACGAACAGGCCAAACAGTGTTCTGTGTTGGAGCCTCAGTTGTTCCCACATATTAAGAGTGTATTCTGACTGGCAGGTGCATGAAGGCAGCAACCATCTGCCTCCGTACTGAACACAGGTATTGTTATCTGCACGTTACCCTCCCAAGGTGTCTTTACCCTGAAGGGAATTCTTTTCTCTCTTTCAGTGTTCGTGAGGGTAGTTCATCATGCTAGCTGTTTTCACCTACACTCCTTTCCAGATTTCCCACTGACCCAGCTGACAGCTTCCATCATCTGGCAGCACCTTCTCAGACTTTGGCCTTCTGAGCCTCTTGCTGCTCCATGACCTTCTGTCTCTCATCTGAGATGAGAGTTCAGGCCTCCTTCATCTTTCTTGCAATATAATACACTTTTGATGAGCTTCCAGATGCTCTGTGGCCGGGCAGATATCACAGATTGCTGCATCAGCAGCTCTGGTTCTCATCAGCCTGGAAAAATGAATAGGCTGCCAGTCATACCGTGTGTCTGCATCTGTGTGTGTCTGTGCACGCATGCTTCTCCCACGCTTCAGTGCCAGTTCTGCAGCTGCACTGCTCTGGCCCCACTCATGCAGTGGCAGCATCTGGCCCTATTGGAAGACTTCTTCAATTGCCACCGCGCTTCTGATCTTTCCTAGTCTCTCCCTCTAATCACTCATACTTGCTCTTTTAAAAAATGGGTTGGAGAAACCATTGCAAACACGTCATCAAAAGTTACATATTTTGCTGAGGTAGATGATGTAACAGGCAAATATCCCCTGTGGAGTTTACATGCACTGGAATAATGACGATATGTCTATGTTCTGAAGTAACAGGCTGACATTGCTTTTTGCTCTCTCCAGTCAATGCTGAATCTCCCACAGGCAGCACTGAGCAGTCCTGAATACCTCTTCCACCACAAAATTTCTACCCAGTGCTGTGGGCTCTACAAGCCTCACTGCATCATTACTTCAGATGCTAGCTTGGACAGTTAGTAAGTTGTTTCTAGGGGTAGAAGAACTGAGCATAACTAAGTGTTTCCGTGAAACCTACAAGGCCATGGTGTTATGTATGTACCAACACATTTCATCTAGAAAATAAACGTGCTGTAGTGATGGTGGCCACTGCATGCAGTGCCAAGGTCCTGCTATACCATGAGACAGCGTATCTTGGGAGCCACTGCCTCTCCCCTGATCATCATCAGCTTGTCTCAGGGGATAAGGACACCTAACTCACACCTCTCACTAAGTCTGGAGCTTAAAAGCAGCAGGCAAACACTGGTACTCACCGTGGGAAGATACCACCTCCATAAAAAGGAAGAGATCCTGGCTAAGCACCGGTGCTGAGTCCCCAGCTCAGCTGTGGACAACACCTCATGTGAAGGCTGGATCTTGGCTCTCTCAGTGGCTCTCACTGGGTGCCACAGGATGTGGGAGCCTCTGATACACTGAGAGAAGCAGGGGCCTACAGCCCCTGCTGAGCTTGGGCTGCATCCATGCATTTTTTCCTCTTCTTCAGGCACTGATTTCTGTCCTGTTTCCTTATAAAAAGCGTACAGTAACATTTTGTCTCCTTCAAGAACAGGAAAGGGACTGTGGGACAGTTTCTTTGCTTGTTGTTCATATATCTCTCGGCCAGCACACACATAAAAATCTCTCTTACTGTTTCCTCGGAGTCACACTAAAAAAGTGCTTCTCCAGCTGGATCCTTGGTATCCTTTCTGCCTTCTCCATGTGTGCATGCTACTTTCATCAGACTCACAGAAATGGGTTCCACCAGCAACCCCTGCCTTTGTTATCAGGCTCCTAGGGTGGCAGGGCTATATTTTGCAATGTGCTAGGCTTTGGATCATGGCTTCCTCTTAGGTTATCTGTCAGAAAAATACCTGGACAGTGAACACTAAAGCAACAGAGGGGAATGCACCTTCCAGCATTACTAGTCCAGTTATATATGGAAGGAACAGGAGGGGAAGAGAGTGTAGAAATTTTCAAGCTCACATGCTCTCCTAAGCAGTACCTCTGGCTGCTGCTGTGGGAGGTGAGCCCTAGGAGAGGTATACCCTTTGGCTCTCTTACCTGTGTTCTGAAATCAGCTGGGAACCAGTACGCCTAGATACTGGAGACTGAGCAAACTGAAATATATTTCCCAGTGATCAAAAGCCTGGTTCTGCCATTGCCACCTACACAGGTTTCCCCCTGTCTTGACACGTACTGTGTTTTGGATATCAGCCTTGTGTTGTGTGAAGGACAGGCACTGGGAGCTGTATTAGCACAAGGGCTGGGGTTTAGTCTACACAACCCATTCATATCTATGTGAGTCATGAAACCGAATCTTAAAAATTATCCTTTTCATTTTAATCCTACATGTGTAATCATGCACAAGTGAATTTACTTTTACAATAGATTGTTTGATCAAACCAAAAGCACAGAAGGTCAAGATGTGTAAGACAGAGTTGCTGAGCATGCATCTCAAGCAAGAACTGGCACCTTTTCTATACAGCACCTTTTCTGTACTGCACGACCGCCTGCAAGATCCAGTTGCAGGCTAGATCCCTCGCATACTAGAGGCTGTACAAAGAAAGCACTAAATGGCTATACATGTGTGATGCTATTACTGTCAAAGGAAATATTTTTGTTACTCCTGCCATCAGCAAAGTAAGCCTATTTGAAGCAGTGATGGGAAGCTGTAAGGTTAAACCTGACTTTAGAACAGGATTTCATAGCTATCTAATAACTAGTTAATGGAAAAGGGTTTTGAGCTACTGCTTATTAATCCTATCACAAACAAATGTACTTTATAGCAGTCTAAAGTGTAGGTTTCTTTCTACCCACCTCTCACTTCCATTTTTACAAAGTCATACCATTTTGCAGTGGTATCCTAGCTGTATGGGTTGAACTCTTTTGCTGGTTCTCCAGAGCTGACACAGTATGTGCTTGTCCTGTCCCTTCGCTACTTTCTTCTCTAGGGTCTGCAATTGTATCACCGAAGAAATATCAAGTTAGCAGAGCAAAAGGAAATACACAGAAATGCAGTTCTTGTATTGTTGAGTTAAATGGTTCCTTTTCCCATTTTCTTTCACTCTCTCTCAAACTGTGTGAATTCCCGAAGTAATGAGCCAGCTTTTCATTCCAGCACAGATTTCCTCTGTGGCCTAGGATAAACTTTTTCTTCAGTTTTCTTTACTTGCCTACTTACATCCAAGGCAAAGCCTATTGAGAATTTAGAAGCTGTGACAAACTATGCAAACTATGGATAAAATTAATGTTTCAAACATAGTAGTTGTCAGTCATTTTAAATGGTTTTATTGCCTGTACTTTTGGCATGAATACATATGGTAAAGAACAACAGGGAATAACTGTGTAAACAATCATTCAGACTCATTTTTGGCCATGTTTTTCAGAGGCTTACGCAAAAGGAGTCTTTTGTGGATATTATGCTGCATTTCTGCGTCATGCTCTGTAGTATGTATCTCACTAACAGAAGAGTTTCAGGTCAGGCCTTCCTCACGCTGCCAATAAAGTTGGAAAAGCCAGCCACTCTTTCTTCTGTACCTTTATGGGAGGAAATACTTTTAATTGTGCTGATAAACTTTTGAAGTTATCTAGAAATTCTGAACTGAATCATGTAAAGTTAAAATGCTCTAAATGTTGAAGTGTTCTTCCTCCAGCAGTCTTGAATTCTGCAGGCTCCCAATTTAAATGTAAAAAAGCCATCTTTTTTCCTTTTGATTGTTACATCGGCAAATTGTACTATGTAATCATGACATTATGTCACTCAGTGTTGACAAAAGTTGTTTATTTCTGCAAAGTCAACTGTTAATATTTATAACTGTGATTTATCTTCTTAGCTTAGTACTGAGTGCACTGAAATCTCTATGTATTTTTAGCAGTTGCTTTTTTTTAATTTTGCTGATGTAGACGGGGAAAGGTTACGTAAAATACTTTCAGTTTATGCATTTTACAAAATGAGAAGTGATAGCAAATGTAATATTCACGTAGCATATTCTTTGCTCTGCTTGCATAGTAGAATCTTGTGAGTAAGTAACAAATACAGAGACTTAAAAACTGCAGTTCAATAATGGTATTTCAGAGGCATGTAGACTTTCTTTCCAGGATCTGCTGTCTACACATGAAGTGCTTTGTCACCCCACAGGCAACTGCAGACGCTCTCACAAGAGCCAGCCTCCCACTGAAACGCCGACAGTATCCGTACTCCCACAAGAGGGCAGCAGGCAGGCACGGTACGGAAAAACCCCTTCGCACTGGGTTTTGGTTAGTACCAACCGTATAGGTCAGTTCTGTTTATTAATCTTAGGGTAATCCGTACAAATTGTCAGAGTAATTTAATGCATAATATTAAATTATATTTTTATAGTTTTTATATAGATATCTTACAGCTACTACACTGAGTAATTACTTTTCAGCCAATCTGTACTTGTAATCACATGAGTTTAAACAGAAGTTTATGCCTTCTGGTATCTTTCACCTGTGCCCTGAGGTGTGAAGTGCTTGCCTATCGCAGTTGTAAATAAATATTCTGGGATGCTGTCCCAGCATATGAAGTTCATGTAAGTGAAATCAAGCACTTTCTAAAGCAGAGAAGACAAAATATTTATTGTCTAGCTAGAAATCAGCCTAGTAATTTCCCACGTGGTGGTACTCTTCCCTGCCTGAAGCTCTGCACATGCTGCTGCAGTTCCTCCTGATCCGCCTCCTGCAGCAGCCAGGACCAGCCTCAGCCATCCCCTTCACTCTGCTCCAGCCCTAAACATCATGTCAATGGCAAGGCTGAGAGCATTTGCACTAGTGGAGTGACACTGCCTGGCAAATGACCTCAGTGTGACTTGCGGGATCTTACCCTCCATCCACCCAGCCAGCACGAAACCTCCGCAGCTGTGAGATTTTTGCTTAGCAAAAGTGTGTTCTAAAGATGCCTTTCCTGCATGGACTCTTACTTCAGGGAAAAAAAGGGGATTTGTGAAGGGGTTTCACTCCCATTGTCTTTTTGGCTGCCATTTGAACCTACAAGAGGTAACATTTGTAACAAAATACCTGGGGATTTCTCTTCACCATGTGTCTTATTTTCAACCTAATTACACGTTTGAGATTTTATGTGCTGGGAGAAAAGTCCATTTCAAAGACGTTATGTGGTTTTGGATGCTTATGGTTCTAAAAGAGCTGTGAACCCTGTCTAGTTGAACGTCATCTGTTCTCAAACAAGACTGTGTTTTCTTCGATATAGAATCGTGCGGTTTCAGCAATGTTTAATCAACCAGCACTGACCTTTCTTCTCAAATGCCACAATTTCAATTTCAATAAATGTTTAACTACTGGTTTCTAAAGGGAAAAGTTCACAACATGTCGAACCTACTTTTTAATCTTACACTGATTCTATAGTTACCACACAGCATGGTTTCTGTAGGGCTGCATATGTGGTTGAGGAGGTTAGAATTTTTCATCTGTATTCCAGATGTCTTTTGACACTTGTGTTATCTCCTTTTTCATCTTGCTTGTGGCATCTCTTTGTATTGCCCTAAGATCTGTGAAAATACTGACAAAGAGGAAGAAAATTAAGCCTATAGTGTAACACTGCCTAAGCTAGTGACCTTTTCTCTTAACAAGTGCATGTTTGAGAATTGATCAGAGTAATCTCAGGATATAGCTGTACTGTAGCCACTGGCTAGTACAGACAAACTTAGCTGGATGCCTTGGCTCGATAGCAGTTGTCCCAGCAGGGAACTCATTGCAGGCTGCAGATTCTGCCTAAAAAGTTTGGTAAAAGTATCAGGCAATTTAAGGCTCCAAGAACATTTCTATGATGTTGGGCTGGTAACCACTTGCCAAATACTGAAGTGTCACTTTCAGAAGAGCATTACCACTACTTATATCTTCAGGATTGCCTATAATTCTGGGCATGGCTAAATTAGGCCAAAGTTGTATGCACTTGCAGGAGGAGACATTTATGCTTACCTTTGAAATGTGCAATGTATAGATACGCAATGTGCTTTGCATGAAGAAAGAACATATATATGCAAAGAGGTGCAAGTTTTTAAAAAATTTTGCCCTGTGTTTGACACCACCTGGAATGATTTCAGTCTGTGGTTTCAGTTTTAGGATTTGAGACTGTACTTATCCAAGTCATGGATGTATTCTACTGAAAAGCAATCAAAATTTGTTGGATTTATCTCCTTAGGTAATGCAAACATAAAATGATGGGTAGTACATTCACTGTATGAGTAAATCATCCACGTCCAGATTTGTATTTGTTAAATTATTGTGTGAAAGGGTGTATCTAGCGTGAGATGTTTGGTGAACTTGGTTTCACTTACTAGAGCCTGGATCTTTCTGATCAAACATTAGCAGCAAATCATATTGCTTGATTTTGCTGCACAATCAGGAAGCCTGCTGTGAAAAGCAGTGAGATTCAGGACCTTCTAGGTTCCTAGGTGTGTTTTGCAGCAGTATTTGTGTGAGGTGCATGAATTTCTGGCTTTTGGAGTGTGTCATGAGCTACATTTTTCTATCAGGCAGGTTTAGAGAGCTTGTAAAAAAAGTCTTGTTGGGTCCAGCTGCCAGTGGTTGTTTTCTTGCAGCTTTTTTATGGTGTTGGATACGTCGGTGGCTGTAGGATTAGCATGAACTCTTTAAACAGAAGTTAATGCTTGACAGAATTGGTTACTAAATGTGTGTTTTTCCTGTACTGCTGGCTCCGGATAAGAGCGTTCCTGTGAGGCAGGAGATACTAATCGTGCTCTGCAGGCTGCGTGCAGTTCACTGTAACCCACATACCACACTCGCGTGTTTTGCAATCAAGCGGTGAAACGAAGCGGACCCCTGAATTTTCGGGTGTGCTTTCAGGAGCGTGAGCATTGAAGTGCGAGCGCTGCAGACGCCGAAGAGCTTGCCAGGACCCGCGTCTCGATTCAGTTTTCCGTGCCATTCACATACCGGGTGCCTCAAGCGTATGTTTTACACACGCACACCCCCCAAAATGCGTGGGAACGGGACACGATGGGGTTAAAAAAAAAAAAGGCTGCTTCGAGGT